CGGCCCTCGGCCCCCGCGTCCGGCGCCGAGGCGGAGACCGGCCGCCGCCGCCGCAGTCCTACCTCGGCCGCGCCTCTCTCGAGCCCGGATCGCCGTTCTCCTGATGCCCCGAGGGGTCGCGGCTGGGACCCGGCGGCTGCTCCCGAAAAAGACGTGGTAGGCGGCGTAGAAGGAGAAGAGGCAGTACAGGCCGATGAGAAAGGAGCACAGCCGCTTCCGCGTCAGCCGCATCCCACTCACGCTTCCGGCCAGCCCGCCGCCGCCATCACCGCAGCGGGCGGTAGGAGAAGCCCGCGCGGCGCCGCGCGCAGGCCGCCGCCACAGCAGCGGAGAGGGTCCCCGGAACTGTCCCCGCCTCCGCTCCTGCGTCCGCCCAGTCCGCCCGGCACCACACAGGCCCAGGCCCTCTATGCCACGCCCCCGGAATAGTCCCACCCAATCACGCCTCCTTGCCAGTTTGCATCCTGGAGTTCAGACCCGCCCCATCAACTCCCGCTTATTGGCAGCTCATAAGAGTAGACCACGCCCCTACCTAGCCCTATCCATCCCTGGCCCTGGTACCGTCGACCTCTATAAAGTCAGCCCTGTTCATTCCCATTGGGACACGCCCACGTCCCTCGTCCAACCTACCCAGATTTCTCCCATGTTCCAGCCCAACTTCTACCTAAAGCGCGCCCAACCCCACCCACTAACCCGCCTCCCGGCAGAGCAAGATGCACCCCACGGCCGGCCCTAGACTTAGACCCGACTGGGCCTGGAACAGGATACCAGAGATCAAGCTGGGAGCCAAGGCTCACACCTGTAATACTAGCTTTCCAGGAAACTGAGATCAGAGGATCAAAGCTAACCCGGGCAGTAAAGGCTGGAGAGGCTCCAGCTCCAGTTAGCCAGTAAAATGCTGGACTGAAAGCGTGGTACATTAATATTAGTATGCTTGTTGCAATCTGCCCCAACCAAGGATAATACAGAAACAGACTCCAGTAACCAGGCACCAGGGGCCTGAAGCCTGTCAGCTTCAGGTGTCCTAGGTCCATTTTACAATCCTCATCTGATGATAAAGCTTTCTGAGATATCTTGAGGATATCATTTTCTGAGACCCAACAATTGTTTTTAATAAGTTTTTTAAATTGTGAAAATACTGTACAGAGGGGTTAAAATCATATGAGCAAGGTAATGAGTACATTTCTTATCAAGCATTGTTGCCTCCTCCTTTGTTTTTCCCCTAAGATCCCTGCCCTCCCACCTCCACAACTACGTTCCCACACCCTCCCCAATTGTAAAGTTCGTTTTTTGACATAGTGTCTTGTACATCTCATTGTTGCAGTGGGTCAATCTGTATCCCTATTTAAACAATTTGTTTTTTCCCTTCCCCTTCCCAAATTATATTAACATCAAATACAGTGAAAACAGGGGTTATACCATGGGGGAAGGACATACAAAGCAACAAAAAATCATGTGGTACCTTATAAATACGTTAGAAACAATAGCAAGAAAGAAAAAAACCACTTGTGCCCTTATCTTGGGGTTCATTTCGCCTAACATCATCTTATCTGACCATTTCTGCTTGTCTCAGACATATACTAGTAATTGCAAATAAGGGAAACCATGGGACCTATGTTTCTTTGGTCCTGGCTTTCTTCACTTAATATAATTTTTTCCAAGTCTTTCCATTTCCTAACAAATGGGGCAATGTCATTCTTTCTGATGGAGACATAGAATCCCATTGTGTATATATACCACATTTTCTTGATCCATTCATCTACTGATGAATGGTAAATAATGCTGTAATTAACATAGTTGTGCTGGTAGCTTTAGTATGGTCTTGTTGAATATTCTATATTTTAAAATGTGGCTTCTGGGATGATTTACCTTACAACAATGTTGGGCCCATTGGGCCAAAGAAGCAGACCTCAGGAAGCAAACTGGCTTTCTTTTGCCCTGCTTTTGCCTGCTCCTTTTGCTCCCTAAGGCAGGCCATGGAAACTAGAGTTTCTCTTCTCCAAGGTAGGTCATAGAAACTAATCTCCTACTTTTCTGTAAAGGTTTTCCAGAATACTAGACAGAAACTGAACACATGGAGGCTGGGAGGAAAGTAAACAAAAGTTCATCCATTTGTGAGGAGGATTGTACACTTCTACTCCAGGGAGATAGAGGAATGAGCTAGGATTCTTTTCATATCTTGACCTATGTTTCTTTTAATTTTGATGCTTTTCTGTATCTTAAAATATAATTTGTAATAAATCAGTAAAAGTAAGCCCAGTAGTTCCCTGAGTTCTGGAATCTACTCTAGAAAATTAATTGAACTCCAATTTGTACTTGGGTCTGTCAGAAGTTCCAGAAGCCCAGAATTATGATCTAAAATGGGGGCAGTTATGGGTACTGAGCCTTCAGCCTGTGAGATTTGATATTATCTCCCAAGTAGACACTGTTAGAACTGAGTTAAATGATGTTCAGCTGGCATCCATTGAAAAACTACTTGCTTGCTAGTGGGGAGAAATGTCTACACCTTTTGAGATCACGTAGCAGATCTGTGTTGTGAGTGCATATAGTAAGAGTCTGAGCTAAGATCGCTTTTCACTCTACATACTACTTACTGTAAGTGTACATGTGCTATAGTAAAATTGCATATATTTAGATGGATAAATATCTATTGTAATATGTATTACATTTATAAGAATCAATGCAAGTTAAGATACATTTTTCTTTTCGCTGTATGATGCTGACAAAAATGGATGATACTACAGAAATGTATTGACATTGGAAAGTAATAAATGATATTGTTTTCCTTAATTGAACAGAAATCAATCAGCCAAAGAATATCAGGGAAGGCTGGAAATAGCACATAACCTTGGTGTGACATTGAACCAATGGGTAGAAATAAAGTGGGTGTAATCATCTAATCACTTATGTTTGCCTTCCCACCACAGCTTCTAACTCTGACACAAAAGTTCTTCGCTGCTCTAATATTTCATCACAAAATTTTGTTCTTGGGTTACACATAGTCTATCAGCTTTCACAAAAGCTATTTAAATGATTACTTATTTGTAGCTGGGTCCTGGTGGCTCACACTTGTAATCCAACCTAGTCAGGAGGCTGAGATCTGAGGATCATGGTTCAAAGCCAGCCGGAGCAGAAAAGTCCATGAAACTCTTATCTCCAATTAACTACCAGAAAATCAGAAGTGGCACTGTGGTTCAAATAGTGTGCTTGCCCTGCGCTGAAGAGCTGAGGGTCAGCGCCCAAGCCCAGAGTTCAAGCCCCATGACCAAAAAAAAAAAAAAAAAAGATTACTTATTTGCAAATGCCACCAATGTCTGTGGATGAGTGCAAGCCCCTGAGTGTGCACCATCCTGAATTATAGACAAGAAAAGAAAGGATTCATGACAGTGTCAGAACCTGTGAGGTTCCATTTTTAAGTTATCCTTGATTTCAAGGCTGGCGCTCTACCACTTGAGACATACCTCCACATCCTCCCTTTGAGGAGGTTAATTAGAGATAAGACTTTCCTTTTTAGGCTGGCTTTGAACTGCAATCCTCAGATCTACTCCTGACCAGCTAGGAGTACAGGAGTGAGCCACTGGCACAGGCACGTTTTCATCTACTTGAGGAAGAAGCCCACTACAAGGTCCAGGAGGGATGTACACATTTTCCACCTCTACCAGCCACATTCATTTCTGTGCTTGTAAGAATGTAAACATTGGTTCTATTCCCTTTCTTAATTTTGACTTTTCATTGTAAGATCTCGTTTCCTTGAGCCCATCAATTTCCCATGTTTATATTTCTACTAACTCACCCACAGAGTTCTGTCCAACAGGATAGAGCATTCTGATTAATGGTGCACATTCAACACTCTGATGTTTGTTTTAAGTTTTACAGACTCTACTGTTTCCTTTAATGTTAGGGTTGTTGCTAGCTGCTTCAAGTGGATTGGATAGCATCGCACCTCTTTTTAGGCTCTAGCACATGAAAAATACTTGGTCATTTCAAATGTGCACCTTTCAATAGTATTTGTGGGGCCTAAAATGATTTTGGACATAATTCTTGAATAAGATTTCGCTGATTTATTCATACTTGTCATACTCTTTCAATCTGTTTCAGCAGTTTTCATTTCTAAGAGACCCATTTACTTCATCAGGATTCAAAGATTAAAGTATCATTTCTTTCATTTTCTATTTACTTTTTCTTTTTATATTAGATTTTACAAATTTTATACTAAACTTGGTTATTGCCTTAGTTGTTATCTATTCTGTTCATGTTTGGCAATTAGTAGATTGTGTTTTATTTTTATTATTTTGTTTCTTCTGCTTTTCTCTTTGATCTTTTAATATGTTTATTGGAGTTTTTTTTTCTCTGATGTGAATTATCTGTTCATATATTTTTTTTTACCATCAATAAGAAATTTACTTATTTTTAAAAAAATCCAAATGCTGGCATTGTCCAGAAAAATTTAACAGATTCATAATTGTTATAAAGTTGAACTGCTGAAACATTTTGACTTGCATTAATGCTTTATATCCCCACAGTTATATTAAAAATTCACACACAAATGAAAATGGAAAAACTGCCAATACCTGATTTCTGTCCCCTATTTTTCCACTGGCAATACTTAGGTACCTTTTGACCCCATGGGAAAAAAAATCTAACATTCAGAACTACTGATAACAAGAAAAGGGGGGGGACTTTGACAATGAAATGCCTCCCATTTTAGTGGATTCTTAAGCTCGTTCTCCACGTATGTGGCGTGCTAGCTGGATATCTTTTGGCATAATTGTCACACGTTTGGCATGGATAGCACACAGATTGGTATCTTCAGAAAGGCCAACGAGATAGGCCTCACTCGCCTCCTGCAAAGCACCCACTGCTGCGCTCTGGAAGCGCAGGTCTGTTTTGAAGTCCTGAGCAATGTCTCGCACCAGACGCTGGGAAGGGAGCTTGCGAATCAGAAGTTCTGTGCACTTCTGGTAGCGTCTCATTTCACGGAGCGCCACAGCACCAGGCCTGTAGCGGTGCAGTTTCTTCACCCCTCCAGTGGAGGGCGCGCTCTTGCGCGAGGCCTTGATCGCCAGCTGCTTCCTGGGCGCCTGGCCCCCCGGTGGACTTGCGGGCGGTCTGCTTGGTGCGAGCCATGGCGGAGCGGCCTCAACCCCTCCTTCTCCTTCGGCTGGAGCTCGGCGAACGAGAGGCGGCGCTGGCGTCGGAGAGCGGCTGCGAACACCTCTGTTCATATATTTTGAGCAATTTGCTTTTTAATTTTTAAAAAATTTTCTTTACAGAGAGTTTCAATTCAACAAATCAGTTTATATGTATAATACATCCTTTAATATTTTTTAAAAAATATCATTATGTTCAAGTAGATGTATAAAAAGGTTTCAATTCAACAAGTCAGGTTATGAGTACAATGCATCTTGATCTACGCTACCCCTATCATCGTTCTCACCATCTTTCCCAACCTGGATAATTTTCTGTTCATTATTTGTGTTTTACTTTTAGCTGCGGAATCCCTTTATTTACTTTCTATAACAATCATTTCTAGATGATGACAAGTTTTTCTCTCTTTTTACTGAGATATCACACACAAAGCATCATATTTCAGGACAGAACTTAGTGGTAACTTTAGGAAATACAGGTACAGGGCCAAGCAGCCAAGACAGAAGGCAGTGGGAGTCTGGAAGATAGTTGTTAGCAATCTTTTATTTAGCCAACAAATATTTATTGAGCAAGTACTCTATGAAGGTCCATTTTTACTGATGGGGAGCTAGCTGTGAGCAAACAGAATTCCCCCTCAAAGGGTCTTGTTTATATAAGAATGACAAGTATGTTCCTGATCTTGGAAAGACAGCTCGGTCCTCGCAATAGATAATGAAAGGTGTTATAGCATTTTTTTTTGCTCAGGCTTTTGTGGTATAGTTCAGCCCACAAGCATATACTGAGCTACTTGCAGTGTGAAGAACAACATTTAGCCTGGAAGAAAAAAATTAGTCTAGAAGAACAATATATTTTAACATTTCAGCTTAAATTTAAAAAATTACAACCATAAAATTTCTTATGATTGCCAGGTGCCAGTGGCTCATACCTGTAATCCTAGCTACTCAGGAGGCTGAGATCTGAGGATTGCAGTTCAAAGCCATCCGGGGCAGGAAAGTCCATGAGACTCTTCTCTCCAATTAACCACAGAAAACTGGAAGTGGCGCTGTGGCTCAAGTGGTAGAACACTAGCCTTGAGCTGAAGAGCTGAGGGACAACGCCCAGGCCCAGATTCAAGTACTACGACCAAAAAAAAAAAAAAGAAAAGAAAAGAAAAAAATTTCTTATGATTAAAATAATCTTAAAGGTTTTATGAAAAAGTGTATCTTTGTAATGCATTTTGTGCTCTTTGCTCTGATTTCACAGTTGCTTAAGTTGTCAAAAAGTAAAAGGTTAATAGAAATAAAACTCTTAAAAAAATCCTGTGAAATACCATCAAGACACAGTATCCTAAAAAGCAGAAGAAAAACTGCATTTTAAGACAGTGAACAGAGGAGGGAGCTGCAGATAAAATTTTTACCATATGCTAGAGAAATCTTTATATTGTGTAATCTTTTGTACTGTTTGAAATCTGAACCTTATGAACAAATACAATTAAAAAATAAATTTTTTTTACCATAAGCACAGAAATAATATTTTTATATTGAAGATTTCGGCTATGTGTTAACATAAATGATCATATTCTTTATGTTATATAGAGAATTAAAAGTTTATGCATTTGTGAGTGATGGCATTTTGCTTGGAAATAAGAATGTCATAATCTGACTTGGGGTGGGGCAAGGGAAACACAGAACTGGTGAGACAAAGGGTGAACCAATTCACCAGTGATACTCACTAGACACTATGCTGGAAATTAACTATACAACTTAGAGCAGAAGGGGGTCAGGAGGGGGAAAGCTGGGAGAAAATGGGGGAGGGGTGACACTGTTTAAAAAATGTACATTTCTTTTTGAGTAATGTTACTGTAACAATCTGTATATCACCTTTACAATAAAATTTAAATTAAAAAAGAATGTCATAAAGTTAATTGTGTGATTTTCTTTTCTTTTCTGCTCCTTGGGCTTGAAGTCAGGGCCTGAGCACTAACTCAAGGCTAGTGCTATTCCATTTGATCTACAGCTCCAATTCTGGTGTTTTTGTTGGCTAATTGGATGAGTCTAATGGACTTTCCTGCCTGGGCTGGCTTTGTAACATAGTTCAGTTCACAGATATTTATTAAGCTACCTACAGCATGAGTAACATAACATGGAAGAACAATATTTCAATTATATATTCTAACGGGCTGATTTTGAAGGCAATCCTCAGATCTCAGCGTCCTGAGTAGCTAGATTACATATGTGAGCTACCAGAACCTGGTAATAATTCTAGGTAATACCCGGTGAAAAATTAGCAAAATATTTGAACAGATTCTTTAGGAAATAATAATATAGATGGCAAACATTCCTATGAAAAAATATTCAGCACCATTAGCCATTAGGGGAATGCAAATTAAAACCATAGTTAGCAACTAAACATTGGTCAAGATGACTAGCAAACAAAAAAGCGAAAATCCAAACATAATCATCCTGAACAATACCAAATCTGAGCAAGGGGGTGGAAGAGTGGGCACTGCTATTGGAATTACAACCCTGAAAATTGTTTGGTAGTTGCTTATAAATGTAGACATACATTTACTATATAATCCAGAGATTCCATCTTCAGGTACTGAACTCAGATATGTCAACTCATAAAACATGTACAACACAAAAACATGTGCAAAAGACTACAGAAATTTTATTCATTAAGTACCCCAAAATAGACATGTCCATAATGGTATTACTGTTATTATTTTTGCCACTTTTAGGAGGGTTTGAACTCAGAGCTCATGCTGTTGCTCAGCTTGCTTGCTCATGGCTTGTACTCTGTCACTTGAGCCATACTCCAGTCTGGCTTTTTGTTGGTTAAATGGACATGGAGACTCACAGATGTTTTTGCCCAGATTAGTCCCAGCCCCCAAAGTAGCTAAGATTTATTGACATAAGTCACAGGCACCCTACTGGCCCAAAATCTTATTAATGCAGAAATACATAAACTGTGATACACCCATAAACTAAAATACTATTTTACAATAAAAAAGAATGAACTACTGATGTGATTGCAAGAATGGATTGTAAAGGCAATGGGTCAAGTGAAATAGGGTGGTCTTTAAAAGCTTACACTAGACAGCCGACTTTAAATAACATTTGGGACTGAACAAAATTGTAGTGTCAAGCATTTTGAATCTGGAGAGCTTGACCACTAAGGGGCAGCATGTGAGGGAGTTTTGGGGAATAGAATTGCTCAGAATTCTGACTTTGGAGATGGTTATACATCTGTACGGGGCTTGAAGCTCATAGAACTGTATCCCCAAAGTGATTTCTCAAATGTGTAAATGCATTCACATCACCATCTCCTACTTCTTCACACATAGCATTTATATAAATACTGATGATGGATGTTTATATACATAATGTAATGTACATAACATATATATATTACACTAGATATATCTATATCTTACATATAGTATGTATTTGTAATGTAGCATATAGTCTATATTCTAAACATATAATACTCTATCTATATATACAAATAAACACATATCATTATTATGTTGGTGAATTATACAATGTGTATATTTGTCATTATTCATAAACACTTTTCTCCTTTTGTACATTTTAATGGGGTCTCCTCAAGACATCTTCATGCATTATATGTATGGAATGTGCTTTGATTCTATTCACCCTAATTACCTGTTTTTTTTTGTTTTGTCCTGTCGTGGGGCCTGAACTCTGGGCCTGGGTGCTGTTCCAGCTCAAGGCTAGCGCTCTACCACTTGAGCCACAGCGCCACTTCTGGTTTTTTTCTTTTTGCTTATGTGGTGGTGAGGAATCAAACCCAGGGCCTCAGGCATGCAAGGCAACCACTCTACCACTGAGTCACCTTCCCGGCCCCTACCCTAATTACATTTATTGGTCTCTCTTCCTCCTCTCTCTGGTCCTTGCTTTAACTGTCTTATCAAGGGTGAATTCTGTTGTACATGAATTATACCTGAATAAAAATTTAAAATAGAAAGTGGAATAAAAAGTAACTAGAGGCTCTAGAAGCGAATGTAATGGTTCAGGAACTAATAAATATTAAAACTGGACTCAATGCATTCATGAAACCAACCCACTTAATAAATGCTATAAAATAGGCAGGGGAAAATTGCAATGGAATAATTGTTGAACAACTAACTTACAGTTTAACAAAATGAGTATCAGGAAACTGGAATTTGTTATGAGATGGGGAACATGAGGGGAGGAGGCATACAATGGAGAGAGGAAGAGTAGGCGAATGCAGTCATAATATACAATGTACATATGTGAAAATGGAATCAGGTAAATTAAGGGGATGGGTGGGATTGGGAGAGATGGAGGAGAATTATGAAAAGGTTGACATTGAATTATATGCATTATACTCATAAGTGAGCAAATTGTATCAAAACCTTTCTACTATTAAAGATAATAAATGTTAATAGATAAATCTTTTTTTTTTTTGTCAGT